CTCCCTGCTACCGAGGGTGAGGAGTTGAGACAGTTTATGTCACAAGTCATTACACCATGTGGAAGACTGAAGGCACCAGCCAACCAGACACCAAGGTAAATGGATATCTTGAGCGAGCATCCAGCAAGGATCTCTCCCAGACAAAAAAGATATGTTCAAAACCCCCACTGGGAGAGTTTCAAGACTGCTGTTCAAGCTCTTCTAAGAAGCACAAAGAAACGGGGCCCAACTTAAGTATCATAGATGCCAGTGTCCGGCAAGATAACTAAGTGGCACCAGATGTGAAAAACACAATCCAGCTATTTCCCCTTCCGACATTGACAAGACTCCCCTTCTGCAGCCAGTGTCATCAGCCTCACAGGAACGGCCCAGTCTGGACTAGGTACCACCAATCCTAGTCTGTCCAGAGATGTCTGGCCGAAAGTGGTCCCCTTCCATGGAAGAGTTGCAGGCAAAAAAGCCATACCTCCGACATGGAAAGCAAGCCAAGTGACTTGGTCAGAAAAATGGCAACAGGTGCTCCTGGACGCATGAGTCAAATTTGAAATATTGGCCCTGAGAAGAAGACGCTGGCAGCGGTTACAATGAGATGGAGTATCTGCAGGCAACAGTGAAGCACGTGGAGTCCTTGCAAGTTGGCCACTGCATTTCTGCAAATGGAGTTGGAGATTTGGTCAGGAATTAATGCTTACCTCATGCTGAAGAAATACAGGCAGATACTTATCCCATCATGCAAACCATCAGGAGCATATGATGTGGCCCCCAGATTCCTTATTCCTGCAGGGCAGACAACCTATCTAAAAGCACAATCTATACCACAATTAAAGGAAGTTGTCCTTGTCGCCTACATGTCGTGCAAAATACGGCCCCCAGATATGCGAGCCCCCACCCGAACAAGTGATTTGTTTTTGAGCCCGAATCACATATGGAAATTGGTAAATGCCCTGTGATCCATGAGACAAGTAAAAAGCCTCTTGACGCCCATAGACCCAACACTAAGACGATGGCGAAGTAATTAAAACCGCCAATTAAACTGATAGGACAAACTGTGAAGACAAAGTGAACAATGTATCTTCAGCATTAACTTTTCCACATATGCCTGTAACAGTCCCACCAAACCCCTGAACATGTCTCTCCATCAACTCAGTGGAACCATTGTTGGCCAATCCCCCAAGAAACTTTCACGATGTTAGGAGCAGATCTCCCCAGAACAACACGCTCGTATAACAAACGTCGACATGAAACAATACCATCCTATAATGATAGTGATTAGCGCCACCTATATTATCGGATCTACTTCAAAATTGGTCAGTACAGTCAAAGTATGTTGCTGATTAAAAGTTGTGCTATTTGTACACGTACGTTGAAGGGCGTGTCCGTGGCGTGCCGTCAAAGTTGGCCAGGTTGAATCGAATGTCAAACATTGATGCCATTTCCGGCATTTTGCAGTGATTTTCAGCGTTTTTTTATTTTTTCATTGTATTTGAACGAACTCCTCCTAGAGAATTTATATGCTATATATATATGCTATATATGACTGTATGTTGAAGGGCGTGTCCGTGGCATGCCGTCAAAGTTGGCCAGGTTGAATCGAATGTCAAACTGTGATGCCATTTCCGGCATTTCAGGGCTTCAATTTGAACTAACTCCTCCTACAGATTTTTTCGGATTGACTTCAAATTCGATCAATGCAATTTAAACACGTTGGTGATCAAAAGTTAATCAAATATTTACTGTGCGTCAAACGGCGTGTCCATGGCGTGGCGCTGAATTTCCAAGTTTCGCAGTTAAGAGTCTCACTATGAACGCAGAAGTCTTTTGCACAGTGTCTGAAACGCATGACAATGCAGAGCAGTCTCCCTCGGTTTCCGGCGATGAGGGCTTAGGCAAGGACGACGTGGTGTGGCGCGGCTGCGGCTGGGCAGGCCCTGACATAGATTGATGGCGAGGTCCCGCCCAATGCTGCTTGCAGCTTTAATTTGAATTTACATTTTAAAACAATGCAAAAAGAATTGTTGAATTGTAAAATTGCAATTTAAAGGCCCAGTGTGTAGGATTTAGGCATCTAGCAGAATAATTGCAAATTGAAACTCTTTATTTTCGCTTTATTCTCCCCTTCCAAGCGCAAAGGAGAAACTACAATTGTGACGAAATGCACTAAAAGGCTCTGTCTAGAGCCATGGTTTGTTTGTCTGTTCTGGACTACTGTACAAAACATGGTGGTTCAACATGGCGGACTGCGTAGAAGAGGGCCCCACTCCCTCTGTAGATAACACCTCATTCTAAGGTAACAAAAACACAATGATTCTTATTTTCAGGTGATTATACTGATAAACTGAATTTTACTTTGTGTAACCATGTAATTTCTCCAATAAAAGTATTTTTTTTAAAATAACACAAATCAGATGTGGTGTAAACAAAATCTAAGATTTAATATTTAGGCTACCGTACAGCCCTGCTGTCATCTTGAAGAAAGGGTTCAGTCATTTCTAAAACAGGTGGTAGCTTTTAGCAAATGTTCCTCAAACAGGAAACTAGTATCAAAAGTTAGATTTAATTACTGTAAGTAAGTCCAGTATCAGTGAATATGAAATTAACTGAACTTTCTTGATATGAACATTCAGATTTTTTGTTTTGGCAATGTCTCTCATTTAAAGCTGAGCTGTAGGGAGTTGAATCCGTACTGCCACATGGTTTGGTAACTCTTTGCTTTGACCGGACTGTACACAGCCTTGGGACTCCGTGTGACTTGCCCTCCTTATCAGTGCCATGCTAATTTGGAGTGCTGTCCTCTGTGGCTGACGTGTGTGAACTGTGACATGCTGTACGTGTGGTGTCAGCAGTTGGAAGCCTTTCTACAGAGCAGTCCATCAAAATGAGCCAGTGGGAAGACAGCTCAAGTAGAGGCAATGGGTGTGTGACCTGTGAAACTTTGTTGTTGTTCATGTGCTCATTAGGCCTGAGGGATTGTTTGTGGGTGTCTTCTTGTAACATGTAATGTGATGTTGCATGGTGAGGTAAGCCCCACTTATCTCCCTCCTCCTTCTCCTCCTCTCAGCTGGTGTTTCAGTGTTTGGAGCATTCCTGCGCTCTGAGTTCAGCGAGGAGAATCTGCAGTTCTATCTGGCATGTGAGCAGTACGGACACTCGTCTAACAACTTCAGCCTGCAGAGGAGGGCCAAAGACATCTGTGCCACCTACATCCAACCAGGTGCCCCCCGGGAGGTAACGCCTACTTTCATATACAGTCTTAATCTGCACTAAAAGCTAATCTATGCAACCTTTCTTCATGAAACAGGAAGTCACATTTCTTTTCTCCCTCAAGGCACCTTCTGCTGGTTTATTACTCAAAGTGTGCATCTCCCTCCAAACAATGCACTGTGTGTGTTTTGGATGCTTCTTGTGTTTTTCCGAAGCTTGTGTGGGCGGCTCAAACTTTAACGTCACAACGTTACATCAATGGATGCATTTATGTGAAGCCTCTTTCCACTAATGGAGTTCAACCAGAACAGAAACCTCACAGAAAACACCTCAATTACTAGATTTTTTAAATTAACTGAATCTATCCTTAACCAGGAGGGCAAACTTTAGATTGAAAAGAAAGAAAATCTCTTTTTCCAGAGTGCCTTGGTCAAGATATGCAAAAACAATGATCACAAAGTATGATCAGTAAGATTTATAGAAGAGATAATAAGATTTGCCAGATAGAAGAAAATGCCAAACCTTGTAGCTTTAAATATAAATGGTAAATAGACCTGCACTTGTATAGCGCCTTT